GATAAGTGACGCAAAATATGCAAAATCAGTTGATTTCACGTCCTTGTCTTGAACAAGACAAGAAATATGGAAGATAGTCACGTTTAATAAGATATCTGGGGTCTGAAAATTATAAACAATATTACTTTTATTTTTATTACACTAGTATCACAGCATAGGCACACTCTACCGCACTATACAGCCAATATCCTTCCATGCACTACGTAATTCTGACACAAAATAGAAATAAACGTGCATCAGAAATTTCCCAGTACTAATCTACTGCAGCCTAAAATAAAATGTGGATCTAACCTTCTTGTCTCTATATCATGCTTTATAAGATCCCTTAGGTATTCAAAGCTCTCTGAATGTACGTTGAAATTAATTTTGTGTATGCATGTATGTATGTATTTATGCATGTATGTGTATGTAAGTGGGTAGGTAAGATGGTTGGTAGGTAGGTAGGTAGGTTTGTTTGTTTATATATGTAAATAAGTCGATAGGTTTGCAGGCAGGTAGGTAAGTATATAGGTAAGTAGGTAGGTAGATAGGTTTGCAGGTACATAGGTAGGCAAATGTGTGGTTTGTTAGGTAGGTAGGTAGGTAGATAGATGGGTTGGTAGATAGATAGGTAGGTGGGTAGCTAGGTAGGCAGGTACATTAGTAAGTAGGTAGGTAGGTAGACAGATAGGTGGGTGGCTGGTTTGGTAGGTGGGTTGGATTGGTGGGTGGGTAGGTTGGTAAGTCGTTATGTAGGTAGGTAGGTGAGTGGGTGGGTAGGTAGGTGGGTTTATTTATTTATTTAGGTAGGTAGGTAGAAAGGTAGGTAGGTAAAGAGATAGATATGTTTGCAAGTAGGTAGGTATGCTGATAGGTAGATAAGTATTAAGTAGGTAGGAAGGTAGTGATTTTGTCACTAGATATTTCTGGTTAATAGTAGTTGGGTAGGAAGGTAGTATGGAAGACAGATATGTAACTATGCCCTACAGGTAACAGGTAAAAGAGTATAGAGGTACATAAATAAATACTGTGTAGGCCTACAGTATGTATGTATTCATGCAACTATAACAGTACATATGCATGTCTTCATCTGCTGTATGTGTGTGCTTGTGTGCAATTGCAATTGTGCTTATTTTCTCTATTTCGTACCTATCAGCTTTTATTATCTTTATTATGCAACTAAAGGAGTAAATTTTAAAACATTTCTAATATCAACCACAACGCCCAAAACAAGGATCTGAATATGTTTTTAGGCATCTTATGTATAACTATGCCACATTATTACAATGTGTTAAAAAAACAATAGTCTATGTTGGGGAAGACAAATAACAATATTTATAAACATGACACACATTGCCTTTCTATAACAAAACAATAAGACAGTGACAAGTATCAAGAAATGGTGATGTGAGTAATCAAAAAGAAATATAAATGTAATTTTTTTCTGCTACTGCCATTCTACTCTGCCACAATCCCATTAAGGTTTCCATTTACTTGCAGTTTCCTTGAACTTTTTCTCTTTCATTACCCACATTGTTCACCTGATAAATTATGCAAGACAATCAATACATCAAGTGTTAAGTACTGTGAAATGTATTAAAAATACATTTGAAATATTTTCTTTGAGCTGTGGGGTGAATATATTTTGCATCACAAAAATCTTTTGCATCATAGAGTCGTCTGCTTGTACTACATTATACCTTACTGCCTAGTAATAATACTGCTAACAAGTATCTATTTTTAGTATCACTGGAACAAGTAATAAAAAGGAAGGAATGTCATAATCAGGTTTGTGCTAGTTTTAGGTAAAAAATAGTTACTACTGAAAACAAAGTCTTCTCTTTGTGAATAAAAGTCCTGAATGCTTTCTTCACCTATTACAAACCACCCAAAGTGAACATTATCATAAATATTATGATGAAGATCAAAATCCTTTACAGAATTCTAGACCGTAAACAAAATGACAGGAAGGAATCATCTTGGGTTAAAATTCTTACTAATATTAGCTAACATCCTACTTTGATTACCAACTTTTACAAAGCTCATGAGATCTGAAGAAGTTTATTTAAAACTCATCATGGAAGCTCTTTGCAGCATCCACCATCTTGCTTTTCATGAATATTTCTCTCTCAGCCAACACCTCGACAAGAGTAAGAACTCCATCTTGGTTACTGTCGGCTGCAGCTAGAAGATTCACTGCTTCCTTTTCCGCATGATGCACATTACGAGGATCAATATAATGCTGGTGGAAAGAGCAGTTAGTTAAATGCAAGAGCAAAGGTATTAAAGTTCACTTAACCTGATTTCCTAAAAGTTCAAAGAACAGAAATAATCATGAAGAGGAAGCTATCATATACAGTAGGTAGTATGATCAGTATCCTAAACATATATCCATATCTTTTAATAACAACTTACCAACAGTTCTTTTCTCTCAACTTTGCCATTTTTATCCAAATCTGCAATTTTAAATTCATTAATCCGATCCAGCCTGAATTGTTCCTCAGTCATGTAATCAGGCACTTCATTCATGGTAGGGTCAGAAAATTCTTCTTCAGTAAGTTTTCCGTCTTCATCAACATCTAAAAAACACAAGAACAATCAAATACCAAGTATGTACAAAATACATATAAGTGAAAAAAAAGCAAGAAACAATCAGATTTAATAAATAAATAAATCACAAAATCTTACCTAATCTTCCTATGGTTTCCTCTACGATGCTAAGTATTGTCGCATGGGATGATTCTGGGTGTCTGAAGGCTAAAAATTCATCAATGGTCAGCTGTTCTGGGTTGTCTCTGGCAGCTTGAGACCACGATGCCTTGTCTCTCATGATGGCTTCTGTATCATATGAGAGTAAAAGAATAAATCAAACAAAAATGCATGTGAGAAAATAAACATCTAAGCAACTGAAAATATGTTTGAAATCATGAATTAATTTGTGACATTATTTGTAAATTATAAAGTACTTAGCACTTACATAAAACTTTTGACATGTTAACTTCTAAAATGATGACAAAGATCAGAGCAGCATGTGTACACGTAAAGAGAAAAACACCCTTTTCAATCTACTTCAATACACAATTATTCAACTCAATATGAAGAGTATGGCCTTTTTATAAGCCTTTTACCACTTTGTCCACTGTGCACACAAACCTGAGAGCAAAAACTGCTCTAACTTTAGATAACATCCTTTAGTTAATAAAATATATAAATAAATAAAACATCAAAAATATCTTCAGAAGTTAGCAAGACAATTCTCATCTCCCATATGCTGCTGTGTAATGTGAAGGCTTCATAACTGACAATAATATCATAGTATGATGGACTGCATTACCCAAAGTACCTGAAGTCAATAGAGGCAAATGAAATACTTTATTGATACTTGTCTGTACATGTGCAGAAATACATATTGATGAAATAAAAATCAGAAAATCATCATGAATGCGTCAACACAAAGTAAAGGTCCAGTAAAAAAAAAAAAAAAAAGAGAGAGAGGAAGAAGTCACAAATGAAAATGGAGGAGAAACACTATGAAAACATTTTGGTTGTCATAAATAAGTCCAATAACTAAATGATAATTAAGCCCCTCCCCCCTCTGATATCCATGTTCCACAGGTTCTTTTCCACAAATATCTGCTTGTTATACGAAATCAAAGCATATCAGTTTGTGATTCCTAACTCTCCTACTGGCTAAAAAATACAACAAAGATGCTTAAGTTAATCATAACAAGATCAGAAAAAATAACAACTTAATTCATAATAATAATATTGGCAACTAGCCTGTCAATCACTGATCTGGAATAGATGGCTTCTTCTACTCCAGACAGAACTATAAACAAATACTTGAATTTCCCAGAACCAATCTCAAGTGTGGTGTATGATCACTGAAATGTTTATGCTACAGTGGTTGGAGAAGCTCAATGAATTTAGATGGAAGATCCACAATTAGAAAAAAAGTATTATCAGTGATTTATAATCACGCAAACTGTTCATCCAACAAAGTGGTCAAGCGGTATTTTGGAACAGGGTTGTCAGAAAATCTGTGGTGTTGTGATAATATTAATTACACAAACTACAATACAATATTAATAACAATAAAAAATAACAGTAATGAGCATAATACAACTAATGAAAATGGTGATGATGTTTGCAATCCGAGAGTCACTGATGCAATAAAAAATATTCAAACATGATGAATTACATTAAAATCACCTCTTTCTCAAATACACTTTTGATGTCCATGCTTCCCTCTCTTGCAATGCTAATGAATCTATAAAAAAATTCTGGATCATGATGTGGATCATGACTAAAATCTAATGTCACCTCAACTGGAATAAGACATACCACTGGAAAAAAATCATAAAAATCCATTCACAACTTTTTGAGTTATCCAGCACAGGATCTGGATCATGATCCAGATTATCACCAAAATTTAATGGCATCTAAGATGGACTACGCCACATCTTTGGTAAAAATTTCATTAAATTCTGTTCATAACTTTTGGAGTTATCCTGCAAACCAACTAACAAACAAATTAACCAATGCAACCAAAAACATAACCTCCTTAATGGAGATAATAATAACAATAATAATAATAATAATAATAATAATAATAATAATAATAATAATGATGACAATAACACCAATAACAGTAGCAATAATATCAGAACTTTATTCTTGCATGTGAGCATTTTACTATATCCCTCTGTGGAAAAAAACTACTATGGATTCATTAGATTTTGAATGTGATACCTCAAGAACGAGTCAAAATACACACAAACACTTCTAAATGACTCACTGGCTGAAGCTTTACACTTCCCACATTATCATTTTGTCTCTAATCATATTTTACAACAATAAAGCCAGTCTTACCATCATTTAGCTTTAACTTCCTTATTCAATGTCATGCAGATATTCATACACAGAATTACATACCATGGATAGAAAGGATAAGTAACACCATTAAATGTTACAAGTGGTGCCAGTCTGCTTACATAAACAACAAATAATATTGGGCCTAAAAGGTGTAAGGGACTTTACATCTTAGTGGTATTTGTCCTAAAATGACAAACCCTTGAAAAAGTCTGATAGATATGATTCCCGCAAAGATAAGGCTGAATCTAAGAAGCCAAAAGTAAAAGTTCATCAAGATGGATATGATGATCAATGGTTTCAAAAGCAGCCGAGAGAACTAATAATGAACGGTAATATGACTTCTTACCCAGACACTTTCAGTACCAGGGGCCTTATGATATTGTAAATGGTTTGTTTATATCGTAAAACAACCTACTCTCTTGTTTCTCACAACAAGCATATTTTTAAAACACTCCTGAGATTGAAAACACATCTCCATACAAGAGACATTTGCAAGAGCCTGAAACCACTCGTAACGCCTATCGTAGCGACCCACCTCAGCTTATATCAGCCTCATAAATACCTTCAGGAGTGTGTAAATGTCACTTTGCTTGGTGGAAATCAATAAATGTGCAAGAGTAACATATTCAAGAGTCATAGTAAAGAATGGAAAAACCATATGACTAATGTAAATAAGGATTGGCCTTTGCCAATGCATAGAGGCACGGAAACACTTGATGTTAATCATATGGATGCATATAGCCATAGCTATAGATATATATAGGTATTAGAATTTATAAGACTTTATTTATAAAGGTGGTGATGGTCAATAATAGGTGGTGATGATTAATATAGAAACTGCTTTAAGTAAACCTCATTAGTGTTGCCTCAATTCAGCGGATAACGCTCTGTGATTGGTAAATTTTTTCCAAGCTAAAGCTGATTGGTCGATCGAGCTGTTCTTTTAAGAAATAAAGCCCTACGATACATAGCGATAGAAAATATGGTTGTGACGGTTACAAGATCCCTGCGCTCTCGTTATTTGGCTTTTGAAAATGGGTCGAAACATTGCTAGTTGAGAAATTGTTGATAGTTCTCGTAACTGTTATGAAAGACAGCGTTTACAGGAGAGTTTAGTAAATCCAGCCCAAAGTCATTATAAATTTTACACAAGAGTTTCATTAAAGTGGTATTTTCTGTATGATGATTGCAGTGTGGCATTCACCTTATCTTCATTAACCACTTACTGACAGACATGTCTATATCCATCATGGAAATCCTAGTCCTTATGATGAGAAATGTGTACAAGCACAATTACTCGCTCACTGGATTGGCCGGTTGTAGACAGCAAATGCCCTGCTGGAAAGGACAAATATACATGCAAAGCATGGATATGTGTTCTGTACATTAAATCTTCTTTATTTTTTTTACACACAGCTGGCTCCAGAAGTACTTTGTCACCAAGGATTCAATTACAAGGTCAACCTGACCTAATTCATGTACCCCATTCCCCAAATTTTCTTAAAGAAGAGTTTTTCTTTTCAATACTGTTATCATATCAATTCCTTCCATCTGGATAAAATTACCATACTTCATAAAAAAATTTGGCTTGGGCGACATAATCATGTCATAAGAAAATCTGTTTATGGGCCAGGTGACGTGATCTTGCCGTCATGAGTATTTCGGTTGAGGGTTGGAGTGACGGAAAAGACTCAGCGAGAGAGCAAAAAACTCTTGGATGATGATTAGACTCATTTGGTATTTAGAAAGGGAATATTACAGAATAAAAAAAAAATAATAATAATAATAAAAAAAAATAAATAAGAATAAAAAAAATCAAAATAAAACTACACAAATAAAAGTTTTTTTTTCCCTCTTCTTCTTGCACTGAGTTATAGACTACCTAGAGCAGGGGTGTCAAACACATGGCCTGCAGCACATTATTATTTCATTCTTACAATCGGTTATTTTACATGATTAATTGAGTCACTCCTTCGTCTTTTAAGATTATTTCCTACACTCTTTCAGGTTTTTCTTTCTATTATTATTTTTGTAATAAATGAAATAGCCCAGGGGTGTCATACTCATAGTCTGGGGTACATATCTGGCTTATATCCCCTGGGAACCCACGGGAGACAAAAATAAAAAAATTGTGATCACTGTGAAGGAAAATAATACAAATGTTTTACCATTAGTATCTCCCTTTAAAATCTGATAAGTGAAATAAGTTTTACGCACAAGTAGACACTACCAGTTTCAGTGACATAATCCTGGAGAGCCAGCCATGAACCTTTGTTGGCCCTGAAGATAATAGCTGAAGGGATATCTGGCCTGCAAAGGGCTTTGAGTTTGACATCCCTGACCTAGAGGGATGATATGGATTATGTGTAACAAAAAATAAGTCCATTTACATCTGGATAAAGCAAATCAAATGACATATATGGACATTCGACATTGGAAAATGGCAAAAAAGGTAAAAACGCTTCTGCATAAAAAGAGAAAACAATATTACAAAGGAGAGGCATAGAGTCTTGTCACCACACAAGAGTGTTTCTGTGCACCTGTCCTACACGCTATGCACCTGGGAGAGCAGCCACTCAAGTAAGCCTAATGCTAGTATTTTGGTCCATGTAGTTGCCTTGAAGCAATAATCATAGAGTTAATAAGGAAAACAATAGTACTAGATATAAAAACTTCTTTCCCCCAAAATTCATAGAATGGGCCAAGCATGTGGGGTTCCCTCGGCCTTGTAATTGACTCCTTGGTGGCTATGGATTTGTAGAGCTTTCTATGTGTAAACAAAATTGAGAAAATAAAAAGATAGTGGTCAGTATATGTACCCAGGGCCAATGATCAACAGTGAACAAGTCATCAATACATGGTGAGGGTGGGTTAAATTCTGGGTTGCACGTATTTACACTATGACAATGGAGACTCCTGTATGCTCTGTGCATTATATAAGCTATGAATTTTATGGTAATAAATTACCGCTATTGCTTTTTATGTTTGTAACTTGCTTTGCGCTTAATTTGAGATTATTCGCTTTTCTATGAATTTGCTGACAAATACTGGTTATAGCTTTATTTGCTGACAGAAGTTTTTTTTCAGGGGGGTGTAACAACCCCACACACACCCTCTGCGACAGCCCTGTTGACTATGCAAGTTGTTCAAAATTGCAAACAATAATTTCTGTTCACCTCCACATGAGACCATAAAGTTTCTGTAGTATTTCCTATGCATGCCAAGACAGAGACGAATGCTCTCTATGTTATCACTTATTGTAAACATAATTCCTCAATTTGCACTCTGTGTTATGCTCTCTCTGCACATCTGTGATGCCTGCCCCATATCATCTTCTACAATTATTCTCTACAAATTTCTTTTAAGCACTATGGTAATATAAATCACATTTTTGTAGTCAGACTGCAAAATTAGTTAAGGCAAAGGTTGACATCAAAAGTAGGGGTGATACCCTATATTGGGCCTCAGTCTCCATCTCCTATGCCCCCCCCCCCCAGTAAACAGTAGGTTTAGTTTATCTTTTGATCTAAAACATTTTCTTTTCTTTTATATTCTTATTAGTAGTGTTAATAATATTGTAATAAATATAATGTCCATAATAATAATAATACCAGCATTGATGTTAATTAAAAAAAATGGAAGGAGGGAAAACAGGTAAAAACACATTGACTACTAATTGACTCCTTGATATCTGTACACTACTGGAGCCACCTATGTGCTGATAAATTTCACTAAGTAATACTACAGTTTTCCAGATGCCACTTAGCTATAAATACTTTTTATTTTTGTAACTTAAGTGTCTTAATATGATAAAAAATCCTCTTCCTTTTATCAATGATTTTCCATATATGACATGAAGATATAACAATTGGTTTGAGAGCAATGAAACAATAAATAATAAATAAATAAAAAAATGTCCCGATGAAGAAATTACTACATAAACCATTACATTTCACATACTTACTTTACTTTCTAATGAAGAGATTAAAATAATAAAGAAATTAAAATTAATTTCTTTGCACACTAAGAGCTTATTCTATTTCTTCTAACAAATGAGAATATTAGAATAAATAAATGCATTAACTTCAATGGCATTTTCTCAACATCTGTATCTGTTTACTTGTTAAGGCCAAAAAGAAAGGAGAAAAAAGAAAAAGAAAATAAATGTCTTTTTACTGCATATTCACCAAAATTCAAATTGGTGTGGAGCTTGTTCAGTTAGTGTACAGAAAAAGAAGGTATGCAATCCTTCGCTTTTTTGGACTTTGTTTTAAGGGTTTGTTCCACCCTGTTTGGGCACCCCAAAACCCTGGTCTCAGAAAAATGTGTAATATGAATACACATCATATAAAACAAAATTATAGGTGAGTGTTACGCCATTCTTACAGGTCTGATTCATTGCCTAATATTAGCATTGGTCATTCTTTAGATGAATAAATATTCAGAACTAATCTTATGTCAATACAGATTCTTCTAATGAAAAATACCCCTTCCCCAATGTGACCCCTCCTCTACAAACACAAATAAAAGTATTACTATTGACACAAATGACACTATTATTCATAACATTATTACCTGGAAGAGAGAGAGAAGGAAACCTCTACCTTCCATCTGTAAACTTATCTTTCAATCTAACCTTTGAGTTCTCGGGGCAAGCCCTTATGGTCCTTCTTGTGGTTATCAATGTAGTTATCATCATATCCATGCTGCTTGAGGAAGTACCTGTGGTACTCTTCCCAGGACACCATACCTGTAAAGATAAAAATGAAATTTAGAATAAAACTTATATGATGTTCATGACAACAACAGCAGAGAGACATGAACAAAAATAAATAAGGTTAAGTACATATTCATGATAAATTTTCATTTTTTCTTTCATCCTGTGTCAATAGGATGTTATATGAAGCATCATTTTATAGTTTAATATTTACTGAAAACGCGTCGAGGCAGGAAATTATTAGATTTAGATTTTTATTAAATAAAAGCACTCACTCATTCAAGATCAAAGCAAATAAATGCATTTCTTTAACCTTTAATATCCAGACCTTCAAAATACTGTACTTCTTTATTCATGGTTACATTTATGTTACACAATGGAAACCTTATTTTTGACACCATCATTTATAACAGTTTACTGTGAAATGTA